ATTAAAGTCAGTTTAAGTTTACGGTCCCGATCTCTCTAAGATCGTGGTTTCGCGAAGTGAGTCTCCGATACTACGGAATTTATTCTTGATCTCTGGAACTCTCAATCTCTGGAAATCCTTAATCATTGGAAGTCTAAGTGTTGTCCCGTACTGCATAATCTATTAACATTGCAAGATCTAAAATTAAAAAGAGCTATGCGTACATTATGGGTGCATCGAATTATATAACAATTGCTTTTTTCAGAAGTCTACCCGAATAAAAAAATTTCTAATAAAGCTCTTAAAAATGTACCAAACGGCAATATTTACATTTGCTGTGTTTTTCTACTAAGCCAACTGTGAAATTGATTTGAAAGTCATTTTTGTATAGTTACATTTGCAAATGCTTTCCTTTATATAACACTACTGAATGCAATGTGTAAACACGGGTTCCTTGCGTCATAAACGTTCTACGTAATTTTTCAGTGACGTCATATGGGGTTGACGCGCAATCAATGGATCAAATACGTGCCGTTGAATTTGAAAAATAAAACATTTCACGCGTTAAAGATTATATTCAGGAAAATACAAAATACGAATAAGTCATAAATGTAAATATAAGTAATAATGTATCATTTTCAAACATCTATCGGGATATTAATACGGGTTGGTACGAGATCAAATTTACCATAAAGCCTTTCGGGCTTGGAATTTGATCTCGTGACCAACCCGTATTTATATCCCGATAGAGGTTTTAAAATGATACATTATTTCTTAAGTATACTCAAGCGTAGAAATATACACGGTGAAACTCGCGCTGAAGTGACATCACAATGAGGCTACAGAGACGTTAATAAAAATGTAATGATATAGGGCAGCAAGAAATTCAAATACTGAGTATATCATTGGTGCTTTTAAAATGTAAATATAAGGAATGTTTTTTAAGTTTAGTGTGAATTATTGGTGTGTAAATCACACAGACTTGCACGTAGGCATATTTTTCATGAAGCGCTAGCACGCAAGTCTGTGTGATTTACACATCAATAACTCACACAAAACTTAAAAAAACATTCCTTAAATGATCTAGTTAGCATCAGATCTAGACTAGGAACCTTGCGTTTAAAGTTCAATTGTTGGCTTTTCAATTTTACAGCGAACTGTATCGGGAATTAAGAAGAAAGCGTTATTTATTACATTGTTTTGTATAGGGCTGGGACGATATATCGAGATATCGATAATATCGATTCAATGTGAGGATGATACGCATATCGATACGTATGAAGAAATATCGACATATTTCCCAAAAAATTCTGACTAATGTTTTTCTTTGTTAACTTAACATTTTGGGTTTAATATGTAAAATAAATATGCTTAATATAAATAGGAATATGAAATACATAATAATTAAGACCAAAATAATTAAGTTTTACAACAGATATACAACTTCTTTGAATAAATTATTCTTATTTGTGAAGAAATATCTTGTTCATTTCAATATAAAAAAAGAATTTATAACCAATTAAACATATCGTGATACATATCGTATCGTGGCTCAAATATCGGGATACGTATCGATATAGAAAAAGTTGTATCGTCCCAGCCCTAGTTTTGTAGCGCATTGATGGAAACGTTTTCCGTCCAAATTTTTGTTTGATACTTCGGTCAAAGAAAAAAATATTACTTTCATTTCTTATCATTTAATTATGATTTAAAAATAATAAAATGAAACTTTCTTTCACTTTAATATTTAATTTAAGCATCGAAGACGTTGCTGAAATTCAAAATGGCTGAATGTACAGATCTACACGCATTGGATTGATGAAATTTTACGTCCAAGCTTTCTATGATACATCGACGAAAGAAAAAATTATAAGATTTATTTTTTATCATTTGATATTTATCTTTCAATGATGAGATTTAACTTTAGAACGATCGAATGACTGTCCAACATATAGGCCTAGCTTAGTTGCCTAAATTTTCAGACGCAGAGTATTACGAACAAACAACATGTTCAAATATTGTCGTGTCATTACTAACTTTTTCCAACAAAAACAGTTTTAACACAAAAACTTACCTGTTGTGTTATTAATTTTTGCTATGTTCCTCCAGTAAGCTGATATCTTTAGATTCGTAAATGTAAAGGGAAGCTACTCAAATGTAACCTTAAGAACTCTTTCTAGTTCACAGAAATTTTCGGTTTCATATGCGCATACATGTATCTTCATCTGAATTTCAAATCGAACATATATATACGTATCACAACATGTCCATGCATAATACAACATGCTTCAAAATCTGGAAGAATCTGTTGCCGACTGTTTAACTTTGAAAGAATACCCGTCCTCGCTCAGCGTCGTTTTTCTCATGCATTCGTTTCCGAAGAATTAACAGATTACGGCATTTCCCCGCTTTGGTAGCATAAAAACATTTCTTCACAGTTCTATTGTTCATACCAGTTATCTCAAAGCCAAACATTTAACATATGTATGATGATTTCTTTCCTTTTTTCCCGCAACTGCATTGTGATCTGATTTGTTTAGCAAAGGGGGATAATTCGAAAAGAAACGAAAGTAGAAAATAACTCAGGAACGTAACGGACAAATTTTGAAATTCAGGAAAATAGAGTAAAATTATTTCATTTTTTTTTTCACAAAGTAATATGGAAGCTGAAATATACATGTCAAGTTAGCCAAAGTAGTTCCGGCTGTCAAGTGCAAGTGAACTCCAGATTCTATTGATGCAGTTATCAAAAGAATTTTTTATCCAATCAGAATCAATTATTTTATAGAAATTAAATGATTTATATTTTTCCTAGCTATCTTTCTACTGATAAAAAAGCAAACGATTTGGAAACTACCATTTTTTATTTTATATATGTTTGCCATTTGAATTTGCTTAATACATATTAATATTGCTTCTCTATTCAATCTTTTCCCGTCATTTAGACGAGTACTGGTCAATTTGATTTGATTTTCAGAATTTCAGAATTAAGTCCTTGAATTAAAATTGCTATTAATATTTTTAACGCGTGACCTTCACTTTGCTGTTTTTGGTCCCCCCAACCCCCCCCCCCCCCCCCACACACACACACACACACAAATCACCTAAATAGACTCCCAATTATTTCACAAGATGCTTGCTTTTTTACAGTTTTTTCCCCACATTTTTATATAAATTACATGTCAAAATCTGAAGATGACAAAATTAACGCCATTTTCTCCTACTCGTTTTACCTAGTTACATGTAATATAGCTTGGTTTTATACGTTAGACAAGAATCGGATTATTTTATAGTTTTGTTATATTAATGTTTAAGATGTATTAGGATTCTGATTTATAAGATATAACATAGGAAAATATTTTATTTTGAAGTTCAGATAATAATATATATCAATGCAAAAATGTCTAATGATAATTTACGATCACTTATTTTCGGCATTTAAAAAATAATATATACCATTTAAACAAGCTTGTATAAAAGAGATTATTTGAATTTTATTTCATGATTACAAGTGCTAAGTTAAGTACAAAAAGTCAAGTTAACTGTTCTATTGCTCAGTTAAATGCACACAGATCGACATTTTCTTTGCAACCATGAGTAATGTTGTATGAGTAGATATCTGAAATATATTTCTAAGAAAATAAATGTGGCGTAAAGAGTGTCAAACCGTAATAAATAAAATGATTTTGTTTTCAAATAATGTGTATTGACTAGCTGTAAAGCTCTCTATCACCAATGTCATATTGCAGTGTGTTTCTCAAGTTTCAATGTTTGTTTCTTCAAAAGTTTTATATAGAAATTCTAAAGGATATCATTTTTCCCCATTCATAGCCTGCAAGTAACATTAGATTCTCAAATTATTCATGAAGGAAAAGGTTATCGTGATCATCTTCGCATGTAAGCTACTTTCAATATGACTGGATTTTCTCATTAGGTACGGTCTCAGTGAGCGGGAATTCCCACCTTCTGCAGAAGTCTGAAGCTTTTAATGTCAGCTGCAGAATAACTGGATATAAGCAGTCCTTTGACGTTTATAATATGTCTACCGTTGAATGGTTATTTAATGGTCAAAGAATTTCATACTTTGGAATCGCTTCCAATGTGAATAAATACAGACTGCATGTGAAAACGACAAATACGTATTTGGAGTTTGGCTTGGAAATACCAGGTACTTTCAAATAAAAATCAATACAATTTCTTTAGTTTATGCAATTTGTTAATAATCAAGTCAGTGTCAAAAATGTTTTTGATGAAATGAGATATCATGTTTGATAATTGTATGTATTGCTTAAGAATCTTTTCAATGTCAGTGAGTAACTTTCTTTTGCATAAATGAAATCTATATTCGATAACACAAGATGAAACAATTACTCCTAATATCATGGCATACTAGATAAATATACACATCCTTGCTTTCAGTGATTTTTTCACCAATATGATCTATATAAGTTTGTTTTTTCTTTTACTGGATATGAGCGGACATGGTAGAGATGGACTATTATAATGTTAGAGCTAACATATTTTCTTGAACGTATATTGCAATTTGAATATGTTGGTATGATAACTCATATAATTAAATGATCCGTATTTTATTCATTTGTATCAGCTGTGACTGCAGGGGATTCTGGGAATTATACTTGCGTACTGAGAGACAGAGCCAATACGAATCATTTTCAAGAAAAGTCATGGCACCTGCGTATAATTTGCACAGACTGCAGCCAAAATATAGTCGGATAGATTTTCAGAGTAGGATTATGACATGAAAAGGAGGCCTGGACCTGATATATGGAAGACAGCTCTAAGCATTTTTGAGTACATTTATATATTTTATTCAGATTTCCAGAGAGCTTATCAATAAACAAGAAAGAATGAAGATAAAAATATCTTTGGGCTTCACAAAGAAAGTTTTTTTTTTCATGATAACTTTTTCCAAACACTCCCTCGTTTTTCTTAATCACAATTTTTAAACTGTTTGACCAAATTTTTTTAATAATTAAAACACTGAAGTATGAAAACTTTAC